GGCGGAGGGCGGAGGGTGGGTGGCCATCTCAGCACCTCGATTTCGGCCCCCTGGTACTGATTTCAGACTTCCGGCTGCCAGGATTTCTGTGAGTCGTCACGTCTGTGATCTTTTGTTAGAGCAGCAAGAGAAAACAGATGCACAGGCTGTGGAACATCACATCAGTGATGTGAGCGGAAGAAAACAAAACTGGAGAAGCGGCTCTGGAAGAAAGAGAGAAACAAGAGGCAGGGCTGTAGACCGGAAGACGGGACTGGCATTGGTGTTGGGGTTGGTTGGGGTTGGGGTCAGCAGTCAGGCTTGTCCGGTGTAATGCCCCCCGACCCGATGAGAGACTGCCCATGAATTCCAAGGGCTCCCTCCCCACATCTGAACAAGCTCAGGGAAAAGAGACCCACGCTGGGCACACGACGAAAAGGAGACGGAATAACAAGGATAAAGGGGTGGGGGGACATTCCATAAGCATCCAGACAGAAAAGAGGAACGAAAGTCAAGCTGACCTGAGACATGTTCTCTGTTCTCAGCGCGTCCGTGTTTGCAGAACCTGCCGGGAGACGAGGACACCAGGGAGTTGCGTTTTTTTCTCTATTCAGACCCCAGACCCCGTATGACTCCCAACCAGAGGTGGGGTCTGGGAATCTGACACATTCAACGTTCTGATTATCAAGGAAACTCACAAATGGTCTGCACAATTTGGGGGGTTACATTATAATCCAACAATTTTATACTCAACCGAGTTACCTTTGGCATATGAAGCTCAATCCCCCCAAATTTCTCAGCTATGCAAGGGCTTGGGAAAATATACAAACCTGTTCCTCTCTTTAAAATTTCCTTTAAAGCTACGTTGCAGAACCTCCAGAGGGACGTGAACTGGAGCTGAGGAGTAGCTAGCGTAGGTCCTGGAATCAGTAACACTAGAGTACGATTTAAGTTCGTATTAAAGGTCTGGTGAGCAAACAAAGGCAAATGTCACGAGTCGTTCTCGGGACCGGAGGTGGAAGGGAAGGCCAGCAGTGCGCCTGTCTTCCAGACGCAAACCCCGGACTATTGTCAATGGGGCTCAAGCGGAAGAGGAGATAAGGTTTGCTCTGCGGCTCCTGTGAAACAGGTTGGCACCGAGAAAGTGGTTCCGTGCATTCTGATCTTTAGAGAAGTGTCAGCGGCTGGAGAAAGGGCCTGGGTAACCTTGGTACCACCTGCCCTTGCCTTCTGTTTCTCCAGCGTCGCTGTCGTCCTTCCCTGCCATCGGGGTGTGTCACCTGGCCCCTGCCCCATCGCCACTTGGAGTTCTGTGACAGACCCCACTGTGGTGGATGCCACCGGCAGGATAGCATGTCCGCCCTCGGGCTCCTGACCCCCTTGGAGCTTATCTGGCAAATGTTGACCGCATGCATTCTAGGTCTTCCTCGGCGTTGCCCACCTTGACTTTGGAACGTTCCCTTCCGTGGCCATTTTTCTAGAGAAATCACTGCTTTGGTGTGAGGTGCCTCTCTTTCTAAAATCAGGAAACATATCCTCAGGTGAGAATTTAAAGGAGGCAAGAAAGGAAGTGAGAGATGAGATTTCCTGCCAGGTGAGACGCGAGGCGGGTCGAACGGAGGATTTGGCAAACAGGTCTGCTGCTCCCTCGTGTGCAAGACTCCCTCCCAGGGAGTGTCCGGTGTGCTGGGAGAATCGGATACCAGAAATGGGAAATAAATACTCTGCACTTGGAGAGTTTCCCATAAGGAAAGAAATAACATTACGATAGTTATGTAACAGGAAACATCTCGAGTGCGCCTTAGGACCGCAGCCGTAAGGAGGCAAAAATAACAAGCACGGCTTCCTGAAGAAATCCAGCGTTGGGAGCAGCCGTCACGGCAGCTTCGAGTTCACATGCGCTGTCTTCATCGTGTAGATGGGCGTGTCCTGCCTTCTTCTCCCCATCTTCTCCGTCTTTTCTCCCCTGGCCCCGAAACAGTCTTGTCTCGTGCTACCGGGTTCAGTAGTGTCAAAATGCCTCATTTCCCCCCTGCCCTGCCCCATTCACCTCTCCCCCGTGAGTACTGTTTGGTATTGTTTCTAGAGCAGGTGTTAAACCAGTCTAATCTCATGCGACAAACTTCAGGAGGTTGGTGGCGGCTCCCCGGAGTGTTGACAAGGCTTCCGAAGCTGTGTCCCAGTTCGGAGGGGAACATTGCCACGAGGCGGGTGGAGAGGGGTGGCGAGCAGCAGTGCACTCGCCCAGCGTTTGCCACCCTCGTTCGGGAGCCAAGCAAAGTGGCGAGAGCAGGGAGTAGCGTCCTTCAGGCTTTGATTGAAGGGAGAGTCCACCAAAGTCATTTCACTGTCATTTCATTCAGAGCCTGAGACCGTTGGTTCTGGACTCACGCTCTGCAGTGGTTTGAACGGAGTGCCCTTCCAAACGGGGAGAGAAAGAGGGCGGAGTATCTTCACAGGGTTCAAACCTATTAATATCTGATATCCGATCCCACCCTGGCCTTCAGGATCGGGAAGCGGGGCAGGAACAACGGACTATTTAAAACATCCACCAGTGTAAATATTTTCTGTGGTTAATGCAGAAGCAATTTAAGCTTCTGAAAGCTGAGCCGCAACCGGAGTCTCCTTAGCATAGACGTTGCCATCCAGGCTGGTACCCGGGAACCCAGACTCGCGGGCTGGGGGAGTCAGGGCGAGCTGCGGCGTGGGCCGTAGCTGCGACCGGCCACAGGCTCGCTGAGGGGCGGGCACCCGTACGGAGGCGCGGAGCACGATCCACCGAGGGAGAACTCTTGTTGGGCTCCTTGGAGACGTTCTTTTTCAGATGGAGGGACCGAGGCTTGGCCGTCGATTGTGCCTCTCCCGGCCGGAATGGGTGGGCTATCGTAGGGGCTTGGCGGGTGGGCAGCATGGCCCCACGCGCTGGTCAGTCACTCTCCCTTGAGTTCTTCCCGCGGTCAGTTATAGACTCTGCGCATGGGGTGGCGGGGAGACCCTCGAGCCCCCAGCCCCAAGGAGCCTCCATGCTGGTTGGAGGGAACCGACAAAAGGACTGCAGCGAATAAATGCCTTACGGTCCCAGTCCTGCATGGAGACAAGAAGGCACGCGGGCCAGGGCCGCTGCAGGGAGAAGGCGGCCTTTGCGTTTGGACCGAATGATGCAAGGGGTCGGGGTGGGTCTTCCGAGGTCTCGGGGAAGACCCTTCCAAGTCAGAGGCACAGCGAAGCAAGCGTGTCCAGGAGACGGAGGGAAGTCAGTGTGATGGAGCGGAGGGAATGCCCGAGTCCAGTCCCCTCGCCGCGGTGTCTGCTGAGTCGGTGGTGGTGGTGGTGGTTTCTTGTAAGCCTTTCAGACTTTTAGTGGCTTCCTGGAGTGGCTTTTAAGTGAGTCACTGCAGCGGGTTGGATAGTGCTTGCTGAGTTTTATAGAGAGTACCAAGAATTTGGTGGATTAAGGTGACTTTGTCATGGGCATGACCCCTTGTGAGAGAGGTGTGGGGACCAGGTGGGGCCCCTTTCTGCTCCGGAGAGCCTGTGCAGGTGGCGGGGGTCGGGGGCACAGCGACCGGTGACCACAGGCAGACCAGCTGTGCAAAGAGGGAGCATGCTGGCCCTGTCAGCGCTGACCCACTTCCTGGACAGTCTCGCTGAACTCTCCTGCCTCCTCCCGTGTGCCGATGAGCCCAGCCTCGGCGGCCTGCTCCTTGTGACCATGAACATGTCAGAAGCCACTTGTCACAAAAGGAAAACACCTTCCTGTGACCCCTCCACTGCTTCCGAATGCTCTCATCTCGGCTGCTGCTGGCTGCAGTGCGGGCCCTGGCCCCTCGACAGGACCTGGCGGCCCCTCTCTTGGTGCCTTTGCCTGCGCTGGCCCTCTGTGGGTCACCTTTGTCCCCAGGCCCCTTCCCCTGGCAGAGCGTACTGGGTCCCTCCTCTGGGAAGCCCACTCTGACCCCTGGTGGCCCGGCTCCTCTCCGAGTCTCAGCCCGTCCGCGTGGCGCACTGCACCTCCCGCTGTGGCCTCCAAAGGGCCGTGAGCACCTAGTGGGCAGGGAGTGTGTCAGCGTCATCGTGTGCCCTCCACGGCCCGCACACAGTAGGGCGCAGTCCATGGGCAGGAAGCCGAGGAGCGGCTGAGCGGGCCTCTTTGTAAGCCGATATTTTAGCTCTCTGCTTGTTGTATCACCACAGGGACCACAGGGCAAAGTTAACACAGAACACGGGCGAGTATTTCCCTGTTTGCAGTCCTCTGAATTCATTCCCATTCTTGACACGAAGCAGCTATCCATTATTTTAAGGGTGTTTTTTTTTGTCATGAAATGCACATAACATACAATTTGCTATAACTTTTTAACACTTCCAAATGTCCAGTTCCGTGGCATGCAGCGCGTTCACATTGTACAGCGGTCACCACCCCGTCCCCAGAGCTGTTCTGTCCTCCTACACTGGAGCTCTGTCCCCAGTAAACACGGACTCCCATCCCCCCACCAGTGCCTGGGAACCCCCTCCTACTTCCTGTCCCCATGAACCTGATGCTCTCGGGACCTCACACAGCGGGAGTCACCAAGTATCTTTCCTTCTCCGTCTGGCTTAGTTTGTCTCATACTGCCCTCAAGGTTCACCCATTTGCAGCCCCTGCCAGAATTTCCTCCTTTTTGAGGCCGGATCACATTGCACGGTGTGTGAGTGCCAGACTTTCTGTATGTGCGCATCCTCTGATGGACATTTTGGCTGTTTCCACCTTTTGGCTGTAACGAACAGCACTGCCAGGAACACGGGTACACGTACCTGTTCGAGTCCGTGTTTTCAACCCTGTGGGGTATTTGCACTTCTATGATTTAGAAACGGTTTTGATAGTTCTGAAATGGTCACCGCCAATCAAACCCAGGGTCGCCTGATGGTGGGAGGTGACGCAGAGATGCAGGCTGACACGTCAAACTTCTGTTCTGGTGGCCTGGGTGATGCTTGGTGACGTGAAATGGTTTGTTTTCAAGTGTGGTTTCAATTTTCTCTTACAGCATCAAGCTTCTCGCTGTGCAAGAGCTCCTTGACAGAGAGGCCTTGGAAAAGGTAAATGTTTTGTTCTTCCTACCCCACACCCACAACCTGCGAGTGGAGTGACACACGCCGGAAAAATTCAGCTCCTCTCCTATTCTCAACAGTCAGCGCACCGTGCACATTTTTAATCAAAACCCCCCACCCCACGTTGCTCATCTGCCATTAACCCTGGCAAAGCCTGCCTTGCTGGGCCCTTTGGGGCCCTGGGAGGGCCGAGGCTCAGAGGCTCACCCGGCCACGGCCGTGCTCTGGAGCAGACCCCGCACCCTGGACCCCACCTGCACGCCAGATCCCTCAGCAGCCTCCTCGCTGCGTCTGTGCCATGCGTGTCACTGCCTGGGCTGGTGGATGACAGCATCGAGGCCCCGTGGGGTGACGTGATATGGCAGAGAAGGGACTGAGCCCTGTGGTCTCATTTCCAACGTGAATGCTTCTTCTGATCTGTAGACGAGTTCACGAGTGGGAGCCCCTTTCTAGGCTACTTCTGAGGACTGGGCAGCTCCCTCCCCACGTCAGACTGAGGTTTTCACCGTACCCCGAGAGAGCTCTCTGGTGTGTCTCGGCTTTCTCTGTTCAGGTCGAGATGCAGCTGGGAGTTTTGGCCGGTTGGGGGTTCAAGTTCTGCGTGCGAGGTGGGGTGGGCTCCCTAAAGCAGGCTGGGCAGGTGCCAATGAGGCCAGGCTCCCAAGTGCCACCCACGGACCCCCCCTCAGCTCATACCCAGCTGATCCCTGGGTAGCTCAGGGTTCTTTCCAAGCATGTGGCTGTGGGTGCTAATTAGCATCTACGTTAACGTCAAAGAAGGTGGTTAGAGAGAGAAGCACTGGCACGGTATTATTTTATTTGTAGATTGAAAATGTTTGGACGAGGGGTCACTGGAGCAGTCAGGTTTTTAAGCGCCCAGCCTCGGCGTGAGGAGTGGGGGGGTCCGGCTCGGACTCTGAACTGCACGTCCCACCGGCCTCATTTCCATCCCGGGGGGCGGGGACAGTGCTGCCGCCTGCCCTCGGAGAGGTGGCCTGACCCTGGGCGAGTCCGTGTAGAGGAAGGATTTCCGAAGGCGGAGGCTCTCAAGTCCTATGAATTCTTAATTGCGGACATTAATTCCTCGTGGGCACTCAGCCATTGAGTTGTACTAGGCCCAAGGGCGCACGAAGACTCTTCTCTTTGCATGGTATTGGAACTTTGTAAAAGTCGCCCCTCCTAAATCAATTCTGTTCTCAGTATTCACTGCTGTTCCTTGTTTTACTTCTCCATTTAAAACAAGACTCAACAGCAGCAGCGTCAGACCAAGCTGGTGACACGCAGAGCCTGTGGGTTCAGGGGCATCGCTGCAATAAAAACACTGAACTCGGGTGCCAGAACCATCGATGGGGTTTGGGGGCTGTCAGAATCTCATTTGGAGAGGCCGCCCGTTCGGCCGATTTGGGGGTGCTGACGGCGGTGGGATCTCACAGACAGTGGGGTTTCAGACAGCGGGACCCGACACCTGGCTGCTGCTCCTCCTTAGCTGTGTCGCTTTGGGTCTCTGGTCGTCTCTGCACTTCGGGTTCCCAGACTGCAGGGTGGGGCTCTCCGTGACCCCCCATCACTGGGGTTTGGAAAAGGCTCAGGAGACAGTTGGCGTGAAAGAGTCAGCACTGCGTCTGGCGAGCAATTGCGTCGGGAGTGACCTGTGGTCTATAGCCTGGCCCAGAACTACTTCTCGTGCCCGTTTATAGGAGCCTCACGACTAACAGATCCTCATCCCCCCAGACAAGTGGGGGGGCCCCCGAGAAAAGCCCTCGGCACCTCGTAGAGCTTTGCTACTCGGAGCACGGTCTGCAGACAGCAGCCCTGGGAGCTGCTCAGAAATGCAGGCTCCGGGGCCCCCCCCAAGCCCCCCCAACTCGGCCTGGGTCCTAGCCACACGCAGGGAGTGAGGGCACTGAAGTCCCAGCAGCTCTCCTGAGGAACGCCACCGATTGTCACCAACACTGCTGTGGAGTAGTCCATCCTCAGAGACAACTGGGGAGGTGGCAGCCTTTTGCTGTTGTGGCCAACTAGGCTATTTATTTATTTATGTATTTATTTGCATTGCAGTGGAAGTAAGCACCATCATTGTATTGGTAATAACGCTGCCTTTACCTTCAGCTTGCCCGTTTCTTCCTTTTGATAAGAAAGGCGTCTTACTTAAGAGGCAGAGGCGGCGAGAAGAGCCTCAGTGATACACACGCCCTGCACAGCCTCAAACCCCTTTGGCTGCCTGCACAGCTGGGCTCCGAGCAGCAACACGCCTTTGGGTCTGGCAGTTACCGACCCCCTGAGATCCCACCTGGTGGAAACGGCCCCTTCCGGACAGACAGACGGGCCCCAGGGACCAGCAGGTGCCTTTCCCCGGGGAGGTGGGAGCTTTGCCGAAAGGCGCACGCCCTCGCAGGTGCCCTGGCAGGTTCAGGCTGACCGAGTACTCAGGGGGTGGAAAGCATCACAGAAAAGGCTAAAACGAAGCAGCAGCGTTCGGGGGTCTCCTAGGCAGTGAGACTCCTGGTGCGTTTTCTCCCTGATGTTGGGCATGGCTGTCGTGATCCTCAGTCCTATAGTTTCCAGGGGGCCGGCCGTTTGTCTGACTGGTGGCCAGGGGAGGTGCAGAAGCTGCCCGTCTTTGGGGTGGGCTTTGCTGGCATCTGCAGCCCAGAGCCAGCACGGGGAGGCTCTGGGGTAGGAGAGCATGCCCCGCCCCCAGGTCCCCAGCCTCCCTGCTGTCAGGCCGTTGGGCCGTGCGGACCTTTCTCAGAGGCCGGGCCCCCTTCTGCATCCCTGGAACTGACGTCGAGCTCTCTGTGGCCCCTGCCCACCCTGGCACTCTCGGGGGTCCTTTCCACAGTGGGCCCTTGATTGCATTGGGAAGAGGGGGAAATTCTCCTTTCTGCACTCTGTTTGCTAACATTTTTCTCTCCTCCTTCCCCCGCCACCACCCCCTGTCCCCTGGGGGTCCTCACTGGGTTTCAGGCCTGTGTGTTTCATCTGCCTTAGTCCCCATCAACCCATGCCTTCTGGGAAGAGCTGCGTGGTGACCTCCCCCGCCCCGGCCCCGTATACAGATCAGCAGGGTTCCAGTGTTTACCTCTTCAGATGTTCTTTGTCTTCACTCAGGTGCAGCAGGGTGGGGACGCTTGGGACATCAGGTCTCCGACTTTCTCTTCTCCACTAACACTACATACAGCCATTGCCCAGACAAGTGGCAGTGATTTGTCATCTACTTAAAAAATAAGCTTTGAACCCTACAGCTAATAACCTTAAATCTCTCCACCAATGTCTTGTTTAAGAAGTTGGTTAGAGCCGTGAGAAAATGTGCTAATGAGCATAAATGTCAGGACAGGTGACAGGCCTCTGAGAAAGCTTGGATCCGATGGGTGGTTTTGTCCAACGTCCACTGGGCGCGAGAGCAAGGACGTGCTCCGAGAAGGAAGCGTGACCTCCGACTCTGTTCTCTTCGCTTTAAGAGCGGGCCGCTTTTGTTTCTTGAACTTAAGTCACACGGATTATTTCCCAGGCTCTATAAACAGGCCCACCTAATGCCTTTAAAACATGGCATTGCATGAAAGGAAATAAAAATATTGGTACAGCTTGATTTAGCAAGATCATTTTTCAATGACCCTTTCAAATGGCTTCCTGCAAGGCAGCAAACAATAGTTTGGCCGTGGACACCAGCTGGAGGTCACCCTTTCCCTGAAGGGTCAGAGGGCAGAGCGCTGGCTGACCCCACCCTAGACCTGCCAGGCTCACAGCCATGGCCTGTGCTGCTCCCAGCCCACCCCAGCCTCCCCGGCCGGCCGCGCAGGCCACCACCCAGCCATGGAGCAAAGCTGCGCCCAGCCCTCTAGGCTCTGAGCTCCTGGGTGCCCAGGCTGGGGCTGGGTCCACCCTGCGGTTTCCTAGTCGTGAGGCTTCTACGGCGGGTTCCTGACGAGCCCCAGGTTCTTTTCAGCACTGGGTGGGGGGTGGGGGATGACACAGTGACACCTACTTCCTGGGGGTTTTTAATGAGAACTAGGTGAGATAATGTAGGAGGTAAAGGGGATTATGTATGTAGTGAGCCCCAGAGCGGTGGTAGCTAATACTATCCCTGCCACTGCTGACCAGCTGCTGCTGCGGTCATTGTCATCGTCATTGTCATGGTCGTTGTCACCACTGATGCCATGTAGCCTCACCACCATCATCCGTATCTGACATTATCAGCAGCAGCAGCAACTTCCTCCGCCTTCCCTCTGGAGAAGCTCTACTTGAGACTGATTGGTTGCCGTTAGCAACGTTAAAATAGGAGCCCACCCCCCTTTTTCGGAATGGCCTGGGACACAACTCCTGCCGGTCCTTCCTGCGTGCTGCTGCCAGGTGTTTTCTTTAGGGTTTACCGGACGCATCTTAGTCTATCGGACTTACACGAGCCGGTGTCAGTGAGATACGGGCACGTGGCCCCTGTGTAGTTTCACGTTCCTTCTTCCCCCTTTGTGCTGTTCTGACACATGCTACATGCAAATATGCTGCTGGCCGGGCTGTGCATTGAAACAATCATCCCCTTACGTGTTCTCGTGTCTTTTAAAGAAGATGAGAGGAGAGAGGGGAACGAGTATATGTTGGGTTGGCCAGAAAGTTCATTTAGTGTTTTAGCGCTTAGTCGTCTTTAACTCCATTTGAAACAATTTTCTTAGACTCTGCTGTGACAGCTGTCATATAGTGTCACTGAAAAATCTTGTTGAAACTGGCCAACTTTTGTGCGGCCATTTTAATTTGAAGATGAAGGAACATAGGCACCGTTTTCAGCGTATGATACTTTGTTGTTTCAAGAAAGGTAAAAATGCATCTGAAACACAAAAAAAGTTCTGTGCCATGTACAGAGAAGGTGCTGTGACTGATCAAACGCATCAAAAGTGGTTTGCTAAGTTTCTTGGTCCTGCTGACGTTTTGGCCAAACAGTTCTCTGCTGTGGGGCTGTCTGATGCACTGGAAGGGGTTCAGCAGCACCCCTGGCC